ACTTCATCTTTGATGATATATTTTCGGTCATTCAGCACGATAATTCTATGGAATTCATAATTGAATCTCTTTGAGGCCACACATCATACAAGGAAGAGGTTTGCCATAAATCAAATGCACTTCTTAGATTCCATCACTGCTTGAGCTTTCCTCATTTCAGACCTCTTCCACGTCCTTGTAACATATACCCTCCAAACCACTCCCATTATGACTTCGTTATGGTCTAGGGGGAGAAAACTCTGACCCACATCAAGTCCATCATGGCTTCACCTGAACCAAAATAGCTGTCGATAGTTGACCATTGGCGGTTTGACTGTCCTTGTTCATCTTTCACTGCCCGAACCACTGTGCATGCTGTTTTTGGCGAGTGCATTGGCTTGGGATGTGGGGGTTGAGCAAACCGGCCATCGGATGCCTTTTTCCACGTAGCTCCGCTGGATACGGGAATGACAGAATCTCTTGTTGTTTAGTTATTCCTTGTTGTTGTTGTTCCAATGATGTGCCATCATTGTGCATCACAATGATGGCACAATTTTAAGGTGTGTGTATCCGTGCCGAGAGGATGAATGGCACTGAGCCTATCAGCTATCTCTACGGATCTTTCGAGATACCGGGCGCCCTCACGGTAATGCGGGGCTCTGCCGTGATTGACCTTCTTTCCCTAGCTACTCGTGGGACTTTTATGGACAAAGTAACCTTAAAAATTATTTCTGACGCTCAGTCTACAGAGGTGATTGACGTTAAGCTTACGACTCCAACTGACCTCCCTGTAAATTTAGATCAGAAACGAGAGCTTCTCAACTCTCCGACTCCTGATCCAATAACTGAACCAAACAAAAAAAGGTTTGGTGGTGCAGCCAGGAAACGACTGAATCGTCTTCTCAAAGGCGGGGTACTTTATGAAAACGTCATGCACCAAATTCTTGAGCGGCGTACGCAGAATCTGTCTCAGGTGGAGGAACAAACGCCCCATGAGCAGGTTAGCAAACGTTTGCTCTCAAGTGATGATTCACCAAAACCAGAGGCGAAAAAGTCCGGCACGGGTGAATCTAAGGCATCGTCAGTTTCAGCTGACGTGCAAAAACCCTCATATGAGAAGGTTGTCGCGGGTATCGAGGTGGGAATCTTGTACCTTGACTGTCCGAAAAAGTACAATTTCTGTCATTAGAATATTCATACGCATGACTTCTTATGGTAATAAGAGAGTACTTAACTTACTGAAATGAACCTATTGCTCAATTGATGATGAAAATTTGATTATTCAATGCTGTTAATGAGTTTATTTCAAAATGAGTTGTTTTTTCTTTTCGTGTATGAAGATGTGGAAGTAGAAAGCCAAAAACTTCCTATTACGAAAACCAATCTCTCCTAGAGATATACCATTTTCAATCCCAACAAGATTCTTCTAGCTGGGATTGAATTGATTGAGCGAATGAATGTTATTACGTGCTGTCACCGATGACATGAGTAGATTCAATCAATTCGAGAGATAAGGTATCCAGATTGGTGCTGAAGAGGCAATAAAGCTAGATTCTCATTCCGAAACATCGATGTCCGCCATTGAGAATGATAGTGTTCCATGTGAGTGATTTTTTTTCTCTTTCATGTATTTTATGTGTAGCAATCCTATAAATGATATCTGATTCAATTCTATAACGAATGTTCTGTATACATACCGAATAAAATAAGTATTATTCAATGTTCATATAGAAGTAGGTGTTTCGAATGTATTTTTTCTTTCGTGTAATTCAATGCTTATATGAAAGTAGTTGTTTGGAGAAGGCTCTTACATCCAGTTTCTATCTGTGGAATCATTTGCCCTCGTCTCTGTAGGATTCCCACATTTTTTGTATAAAGATGAACTAGTAGAAAGCTAAAACTTTTTTCCCAAATATCACTCCTCATAGAATCGGTGCTTGAGAAGACTGAAATCGAAAAAATCCAGTTCCTACGTTCGGTTTTTTGATATCAAAATAAAAAATGGTATTCACTCGTAGAGTAAACAAGTATTATTGAATCTCATCTCTTATGATTGATAGCACAATGCTCACGTATGTGCTTCAGGACTAATATAATTCCCCAGTCACTCTTTTCACACTTTACCCTTTGATAAATTCGTGTAATCACATTTCAGGAATTGAAATGAAATTCACAACATTCAGACTTGACACGCGGACTAAAAGTCTGAAGATCACGGTTCCTGCCACGAACTCACGTGTTATAACATTGATTCATTCATTCCTTTACACATGATTTATAGTTGAAATGTTATAGGCCAAATTTATTATCTAGCTTATGATGTATTATGAATGAAAATGATATATAAAATTATATATAAGAGGAAATGAATCAGTCAAACCCAGCTTCAAAAAAAACAAACCTACTACTCGTATATTTTTAAGATACTTCGAGCCTTCCTCTTTATATTATGACTTCTTCAGGATGCTAAAATTGAATACAGTTTTTTTAAATTCAGAATGCAACAGTACTCACAAGTAAAATGTGGAAATGTACTTCATAGCTGATAATTATCACTAGCCAACAAATAAAAAAAAAATGCATCCTGACTGCAATCATCAAAAACCTTCCATCACGTAAAGATTTTGAGTTATAGTTTGTTTTTATTTTGTATAAAAATTTTCACATATTATAGGAGATCAAAACAAGGAAAAAACAAAATATTCTGAAGATAACAGACTTTATTTACAATACGCATGGAAAAACATTCAAGTAAAGTCTTTCGTGAATAACATTTTTGCATATGTTGACTTTCGTTTATATGTTTCATCGTTTTTTTTTCTCATAAGGAACCAACAATAATCCTCCAGCATTGCTGCATCCCATCTGCCTTGGTAACGTTGCTCCATTGTCAGTATGTCTTGGTGGAATCTTTTCCCTTGTTCGTCACTGACAGCACCCAAATTTTCTGGGAAAAAATTCAAATAGGACTGCAAGAAATGGATTTTGGGAGACATGCGACATCCTACCCTGCAGTAGTTTTCAAGTAGTTCTTCTGAAAGTGTTTCTACTTTCTTGTTCCCTAAAAACCCCGAAACAATTCTTTTGAAAAAACTCCACGTAGATAATTCAACATTACTTAATTTTTGATCAAACTGTTTTCCAATTTGTGGTCCCATAAATACCTTCCTTGAGCTTTGCATTACTTAATTTTGGAAAAACGTGTTTAAGATATTTAAACGCATCACTTTCGTTGCCTAATGCTTTCACAAAATTTTTCATGAACCCCAGTTTGATATGTTATGGAGGTATCAAAACATTTTTGGGATGTATCTCTCAGAGACCATTCTTTCACTTGATGATGGCTCTGTGTTGTCCTACTGTTCCAAAGGCAAAGAAAATAACAAAACTTCGTGAATCCGCCCTGAAGACCTAGTAATAGTCCTATGACTTTCGGCTCACCACATATTTGCCACTTATACGTATTACACCTTATTGCATTTAGAAAAAGTGACATACTTCCGTATGTTTCCTTCATGGCAACTGCATGTGCCATGTGTGAGGAGTAGAGGGTCTTTTATTACCATTATGGAGCAGTACGGCTTTCAAACTTGTTTCAGACGAACCTATAAATGAACGCCATTCGTTCGGGTTGTGTACAAATTCCAATTTTTCCATCACACCATTTGGATTTACACAAATACAAATTTCATCCTGCATAGTAAAAAACGAGGAAAGCTCACGGTTACGGTTCCTAAATATTGTAACTTTGGTTTTAGGAGCTAGTAAATTCCATTGTTGTAATCCAGACACTAATGGTTCACCATTCTCTTTGTACATGTGGAGGTCCCAAACTAAGTCATTTAATAGGTTGTTCGATTAAATGGGGTGTTCTTCCTTCACTCATTGGGACCCTCTTTTTCTGGCGCATCATGGGAACCTGCTTGGTCATCATACAGTTCCAAATCTTCCTCCCAATTTGCAGGGGGTGTTGAAACTGGTAAACCTTCTCCATAAAGAACCAGCCTTCTTGCAGAATGAATATCCGGATATACAATTTTGTGTTTGCTCTTCCTGGGAAAACCAGACACGCTTGTCATGCAAAAGTAACAGTCGTTGTAATGGTTAGTTGTTTCTCGCCAAATCACTGGAACTGCAAAAGGCATAGAAGAGCGTTTGCCATTTAACCAGTTACTTAGATTTGCTGCACAGGTTTGGCAACAAACGCGAGGGAGCCCAATGCCGATCTTGATCACCGTGTTAGGAATCACACGTTAAAAGGCAGGACCTCGTTAATCCTTTGCTCGCACAAGTTTCGACTTCTGAGGGTTGTCGTTCGTAGGGGTGTGACAGCTGGTTAACGAAAAAACAGAGTTTAAACAGATTTTAAACAGATTTTTTTTCAAACACATCCAAAATACTTATGGTAAGCTGCTTTGGTTATTTGATCAATTGGCCGTTTCCGCGATTCAGGAGTAAACTGACCACATATATAGCAAAAGCTATCTGCGGGATTAACGCAGCCAAGTTTCTGTACTTTGGACATTTTTGTCCAATGTTTTTGATACAAGACAAATATTTTGTCAACAAATTCTAATGTATATCCGTAAAAATAAAATCAAGTTAATACCCATCGACCACCGTTATGAAACTCGAATAAAAAATAAAAACATGGAAGTTCCAACCTGCGAAAAAACAGCCGGTCAACGCTCAGCAGAATATCTTGCACCAAGAATATACATTTTACTGCCAGAAAACCTCAAATTTATCAAATATTAAACTTCTTTCAAATACCATGTAAAACAATGGATGAAAACTACAGATAGAAACATATTTGAAGACCTAAAGTTTCTACAATAAACATTTACACTCCAAATCACCCAAATACGACATATACCTGACTATGACAACCCACGTACCAAAATAAGACACCAAAACCCTACCTTGACAATGATAAGAGAAAAAAAATAAGTATCTGTGTGAATATATCATTCAGATGAAGCGTGTGATTGTTCTCATTGAGGTAAGGCCAAACAGCGACTTGCACTAATTAGAAAAATGATTTCCAACGCCAAACTTGCTTGCGTCTACTCAGCCCTAATTCTGGTTGATGATTATATTGCTGTAACTGGTGAGAAAATCAAGAGCATCCTCAAAGCAGCCAACGTTGACGTAGAACCATACTGGCCTGGTCTTTTTGCGAAAGCTCTAGAAGGAATCAACGTCAGGAAACTGGTCACCAACATTGGATCTGGAGTAGGAAGTGCGCCCTCGGCAGGAGATGCTGCAGCTCCAGCTGCGGCAACAGCTACTGCTGAGCCTGAAAAGGAGGAAAAGGAGGAGGAAGAAGAACCTGAAGAGTCTGATGATGATATGGGTCTTGGACTCTTCGATTAGAGTACAGGTTTTTTTAACTATGTGACATAGGATATAATCGCTGTTCTAATAATGATGATGATTATATGTATTACCTACTGTTGTTTCCTATACAATATAAATATTATCATCTATATCACGCACAAGCTTTAAAGCTTCAGTGATGTCTCATGTGTATTTTCAAAGTTGGATTGCCTGTTTTATCATTTCTGCAGTTTTCTATTTTTGAAAGTAGAGAAAGAAGAAACTAGAGGTCCGTATAAAAAAAGGTAAGTTGACGAAATCTAATGAACGAAACATCACACTGCAAATTGGTTGATGTCAGATTATAACAATTATGAAACAGCATTGAAAGTTACTCTCTCGAAAACAACCACTGATTTATCTCGACCTGGAAAAAGTTTATTCTAGGTCCCCAAAAATGGAAACATTTGTCCAATTTAACCGACCTTGTAGGTCTTTCCGTTTCCGAAATAGCATTTGGGATAATGAAATCCATTCATGAATACTTTCTTTTGAAGTGAAATTGACAGATTAAACTTTCAATATGGCGATTGGGCCCATCTGAGGAAAAAAATAAATGAAAATAGGGATCTTGTGATACATGTTTTTGAAGTTCCTGACAAATACTTCACAACCCTAGAATATAATTTCAATTTTTTTTGGAAAGAAAGTTTTTGGTTTTCTACTACTATGTAATCAATTTGAAAATGAGTAACTCTTTACATGGATGTGTAGATCATGCAAAGAAGCAACTTTCAGACACAAACTGGAAGAAAGCCCTCCTGAAACAGCTACTTTCATATAGCCAAGCCAAGAGGAGTCTTATTTGAATTGAAGGGAATTTAATCAAATAAGTGAATGAATGTCATTACGATGTCATCGATGACATCGTAATGACATTCATTCACCTATTTGATTAAATCCCAGCCAAGAGGAATCTTATTTGAATTGAAGAGGTTATATTTTTTAGGAGTGATTAATTTTTGGGAAAGAAAGTTTCTGGCTTTCTACTACTCCATCTTGATACAAAAAAAAATGTGGGAATCTTCCAAAGAAAGGAAGGAAGTAATCAATTTGAAAATAAGTAACTCTATACATGGATGTGTAGATCATGCCAAGAAGCAACTTTCAGACACAAACTGAAAGAAAGCCCTCCTGAAACAGCTACTTTCATATAGCCAAGCCAAGAGGAGTCTTATTTGAATTGAAGGGAATTTAATCAAATAAGTGAATGAATGTCATTACGATGTCATCGATGACATCGTAGTAGATCAAACTTAATTTTAGTTTCATCTATCATCTGTCAATTTCACTTCAAAATAAAGTATTCATGCATTAATTTCATTATCCCAAATTTAAATTTTTTAAGTTGACCCGTTCAAAAAATAAAAGGGGGGGAGACATTAAAGAAATGCACTGTATTTGACCCTAATTATATATTTCAGCTTCGAAAATATAACTAAGATACTTTTCGAAACGTGGGCAACGTCAAAATTTTATGGACTGATATTGGACTGTAATTATTCTCACTACATCTCTCATTAGACATTCAGAAGGTCGTGAAATACACGTAATAGGGTATCAGTAAGTTTGAATTTCGAAATTTACCTCATCGAACAGTATTTTCAATTGAACTTTTATCATTTACCCAAGCACGGATTGTGTAATTCATTGATTAGGATATACAATCAAGAAGCATGTGCCTACCTTACAGAATATGAGTAACAGGGATGACGTTGAAGGTAATCACATGTTGATTTCACTTTATCGGAACGTGATCTGCCGGTTTCTCTGAAATTGAGTAATGATTTCCAGTATACCAAACGTGCACCGTGTGAAATATGAATGGTATTGAACGCATGTGAAAGAAAGAAGAAAAACAAATTTTCAAATGATCTATCTAACAGCACTTCGGAATTTTTCGATTCAAATCTCTCACATAGACGGATTTCAACGAAAGTTTTCAGGTGTTCCACAGGGTTCGAACCTAATTGGACCCTGGTACATGATTCATACTACCAATACTACCACCAGTTCGAAGAACCTCCGATATGAGACGCAGTTATATTACCTGTTTCACCAATGATGGTACACAACATTGCAAAAATATCATGAAAGGGGACATGAATCACTCTGTATCAAAAAAGCATGCTTCGAGAGAAGAAATGCCCTGTAATTGAATTTTGAAATGAAGTTACGAAACTAAACATCGATTAACTGATCGTGAACAGTGGCCACACTGTTCACCTGTCAGAAATCAAATGAAAAAATCTGGAAGATTTCATCGATGACGAGGTTGAATTCATAAGACCTTGAGTCAATCAGCATCCAGTAGATATTACAAAATGAGACTACCATATCATCATAGGCACGTTTTTAGTTGGAAAACTAAATTACCCATTTGTCAACGATAATAATACTTGAATTGAAGGAATTATATTTTTAGGAGTGATTACTTTTTGGAAAAGAAAATTTTTGACGCTCTACTACTCCATCTTGATTCAAAAAAAAAGTTAATATGTTTATATGAGAGTAGCTGTTTCAGGAGGACTTTCTTTCAGTTTTTGTTTGAAAGTTACTTCTTTGCATGATCTACACATCCTTATCTTCAAATTGATTACTTTCTTCCTTTCTTTGGAAGATTCCATTATCCTTTTTTTGTATCAAGATGGAGTAGTAGAAAGCCAAAAACTTTCTTTTTCAAAAAATAATAATACTTCTAGGATATATCTTTCCACCCTCGGATACCTGAGGCATAAGATCACCTAATTATTTCATATAGATGATCTTGAACTTTATGCCTCTGGAGAAAATGAGTTCTATCAGTCCTTAAGAGGGATAGACAAATGTGCAATGGTCCATCTCAAAAGAGGACGATGCGGGGACTACGGAGAGCATATGCAGGTCGTAGATGGAAGCATTCTGTACCATCTGGAAGCCGGAGAGACGTATACTTACCTCGGGGTGGAAAAACGACACTCACAAAAGGCAACGGCAGTGAAGAACTCTCTCCGCGGCAAGTATTTGTACAAACTCCATCAGATCTGGTCATCGGAACTATCGGGGAAGAAAAACATCGCTGTTGTGGATATGCTTGCCATTCCTCTCTCACTTTACTCGTTTGGAGTAGCGAAATGAACCCAAGAGATGATGTATCAACTCGACATAAATAGCGAAAGAACGAAGTATCTTCATTGGAGTTTGCATTCCAAATAGGCCGTTTTACGGTTGTTCTATCTCCGACAACAGGGAGGCCGTGGAACCTGTGTAGTTATCAGGAGTTTTAATCCTCTCCATTGAATGGTCCATGACCATGAGAAAGCAGAAATTGAAGCTTTCCTTTTTAGGGCAGCTGGTAAGATTGATTTAGTTTTCTACACTGAATGAGGTGAACACACCGTCCAGCAGAGATCACTTCATTCCTGCTGCAACACAAGGATGAGCCATTGCATGAAGCCTTCTTTAACGGCTTATCATAGCGCCTAACCCTCGCTTTCCTCAGGTTGGCTGGGCTGAAGTCGGAAACTGAATGCTTCATCATGGCTTGCCAAGATGGTGTCTTCAACACCTTAGTCTACCGTAGTCATGTGATGTGTATAAAGGATCCTGACATAAGGTTCAGTGCCTGCCGCGAGGCGCCTGAGGCCCTTATGGATTTGCTGTCCGCATTTCCAGCATATGCAGCCTCCTACATCCATCGACATAACGCGGCTCTTAGTGTGCTTTTTATTATCACCTACGGCACTGTTGCGGTATTAACGAGACACCGGTGTTGCCCTACACTCCGGCAGATATTGAATTCGTTGTGGGGAATGGGAAGTGCCAAATTTATTGAAACCATTCATTCCCCACCCTCAGGCTTATACAGGCTAATGAGCCTGATTCAGTTCTACTTGACCCTCAGAGCATGACGATATTTGTCGTGGAGTTTTCGCCACAGACACTATAACCACTCTGTGATGGTTGCTCTGATTATTGGAGCCCTTCTCTCTTCTCGAATTCAATATCATACCTGCTTGACGCACCAAGACAAAAATCTTAGCCGGCAAAATGAGAGGGATGTTATTCTTGGCTCATTGCGCTTGCTCAGGGTACATGATTCTCGGACCCAATGATCACTCACCACAAATGAAAATGATAATTGGGTGATAATGGTTGATTATGCCTTGCTATATCGGGGTTTTAGGGGAAAGGGCCCGACCAGCACAACCTCAGGATGAAAAAAATATTATTGGCTATGATTGTTTGAAGGTAGTTGACAATGTTTCATGATGAATTCCATTAGCTTAAAATTCCATTCTCTGATATTATGTAAAATGATTTGAAATCCCTGAAAGAACTAATCAGAAAAGAAGAATTAAAAATGACTAGCTGAAAGTAACAATTATATTAGGCAAAAAAACCCTGAAATGAAATGATAGTGGAATAAAATACAAGTGAAAATAGAACAAGAAGTTGAAAGATTCCAGATTACTTCACGACGTTTCGATTGTTATTATACACCATCGTCTTCGGGTGATAACTGGATTGATTCTTCCGAGAGATGACTATTTATGGGTCATTCGAGTACTTTCTCTTATCTCCGCTTTCCTTTTTACGCTTCACCGGTTTAGCGGGAGATGATCATTTGGCGGGAGTTAGCCATTTTTCGCTTGATTATGGTTTTCTATATATTGCGTATCTCTACGCTAGCTTGGTTGAATACATTGTAGGACAACATGTATGCGGCTTCTTTGAATTTTCTTCTAAACCAATATTCCTCCCTATGTATGATCTCAGCTTAGGACCACTCGATGTTATGTTGATGGGTCCAAACATGCTCTGATAACCCTGATTCGCAGAGGAGGTTTCCCCTCGCTGTGTATGTTCCTTGTTATCGGCAATGCGAACATTCAATGGCCTCTTAGTTTCACTGATATAAGATTTTCCGTACTCACAAGGTATCCGGTAAATGCAATTCTTGGAATCGCAGTCCACGTTTGGTGGCCTAGTTTTTGTGAGGCTGCTATGGATTGTGTTTCCGGATCTGAAGCAGGTTCTGATGT